ATAGCAGCAGCTGCTGCGAACATGATATATGCAAAAATCAAAGCATCCAGTCCCAGGACACGACGCCCACGGTTGCTGTCCGCATCCAGTCCGATCGAGACTTGATCCTTGATTCCTACCGATCGCTTCTTCTTCGGGGCAAAGGCATCCTCTGGTTTGGGGATGATCACTGGTTCGGCTGTGCCGAAAGGCTTTCCAAAAGCAATCCTTGTCCAGAAGACGTAGGACATGTACAAGAAGAACACCACACCGGCAAGGGCGATGCCAGTATTCCGGACCATGTCGTCTGTATTTACGGCAGTCAAGCTTGACACCTTTTGCATACCTTCACCACTGAGCAAAAATTCTTCTCTGGACACATGTCGAAGGAGTCGCGTCTTATACCACTTGCCCAAACTTGAATAGGTGCCAGTTAATGTGAACGTGACGCTTCGCAAGAAAATGCATGCAGTCACCAGAAGCCAAGCCCGTGGACGCATGGCTCTGCTGGCAAATGCAAACAAACAGCTAGGACGTTGTATTATATCCAAATCTCTTCAGCGGATTTCTAGCTTGATTTCCAAAAGTGTGTTGCATGAAATCGGAAATGGACATCAATATTACTAATAATTGAAATTAATTATGTATAGACATTTCATGTCATGCACTTTCAACTTCTTCAGTCTTGAGGATGGTAGGAACGTCACCAACCGTCCATGTTCTTGAAAGCAATGCACGTGTGTGAAATAGAAACACCTGCGTGCATGGAGCAACATCGGTCAACCCCCCCACGAAAGAGCGTTTCCGATGCTCAAGTCTGGAAGAGCTCCAACGAAGTCATGGCTCAACAACACCTCCTTCCGACCTCAGCACCTGCAAAACCATGGCCAAAAAAACCCTCTGAATGCATTGGGCAACACATGTCAACGCCTCCATCTCAGCGGTATAAATGGTGTGTTCAAACACGAACAGCTGCACATCGACCCTTTGAGATGAGCACCGTCTTCCCAGTGCCCGTCAGCCCGGAGTACAAGACATGGTTCTCGCTGGCCACCTGGTCTCGCCGTTTGGGCCGTGGGGACGGCCACACAGGGCGAAGAAGCGACACGGGTGCGACGCATACAGGCATTCAGGCATACAGGAATGAACATCAAACGTGCAACATACACTATACAACGATGACCGTATGACACCCCCAATAAAAACGATTTAAATATTATACACGAAATCTCACACAAAAAAATGCAGAATCTTCAATGCCTGTCTGGGGTTCATCTGCCTATCCCATGATCAAAGCCTGAGTGCTCAACTGATTTGTTCTGCTGAATTCGGTGACACCACGCCGTGCCGCGTTCCGGCCCGGTGGTTCCGTCTCTTTCGTCCCCCGTCTTCGTCGTTTTCGTTTTGGGTGCCGGGCCATCGTCTGCAAGAGGAAGGCGCTGCGGACGGTGTCGGTGGTGGGCACCATCACCTGGTGTGCCTCACATCGGACGGCAACGTGGCACCAGGCGTGCCACACGGTGAGACCATATGGTTTCACCTTTAGACATGTCAGCTCTGAATTTCATTGTAACCGTTGGATGGGAACAAACTATAACAATGTTAGACTTGTGGCTGGTGGCTCGGTTTCATATGTGATGTTGATCACTGCTCACATGCAGCATGTCGTCACAGTCGTGCTGTCAGGGCGGCCCACCGAGGTCGCTGCCAGTGCCTCCTTGGGTATATCAAAGCCAGTGATCCTGGTGCCGTTCAGTGAATTAGTCGGGTCTTTCGATACATTGCACGACTGCTGTATCATAAACGTGGACAACCTCCAGCTTAGAATCAGTTCACTAATATTGTGTATATATATATATATGTGTGTGTGTATGTATATATAGCTCCTCTATTTCAATGAACACCGCCAAGCACGTGTTGAACAGAACAAACAGAACGCCTCAAACCCAAACCTGATCAACACAACGCCGACCTATCATGCCAACTCAACAGCAGATGGAACAACGATCTTCATAATGAAACTTATTTAGATATATATAATATATATATATACATGTGTGTGTGTGTTTGTGTGCTTCTGCATGTGTGTTTGTATGCGTGTGTGCATGCATATATGTATGAACATCCAATCCATCCCTGTAATTCTTCCAACACATTCAGGTGGATCAAACGGTCTCCGCCGTTTTCCATGAAACTCACCTCTGGCATTGGCTCCCTCCCTCCCTCTCCCTCCCTCTCGCTGCAGCCAAGACTCTTCTTAGTCCATGCTTCCCACTTATTGGACCTCAGCCACGTCAACCCATGCACCGAACCCCCCCTCAAAAACACACACACACACAATCTCGCACGCTCACGCTAGCACCGCCGCACTCGTGTTGCGCAGCTCTGGGTGCCCAGGCTGAGAGAACGCAAAGTATTCGAACACGGTGTCCTTTTCTGGGAAGGGTGTCTTTGACACAGGCCTCACCGAGCTGGAAAGCCGCCGAACCGGGGTCCCACCGGTTGCGAGCTCGTTTGGTACTCGTTTGGTCCCTCCGAATGGCTCCCCAAACTCCTCTGCTGCCTGAAAGGGGGTTTCTTCATTGTGAGTAAGTATGGCAGCCGATAGCCTCATGGTTGGATCATCGGCAATGAGGTTGAACTCGTCCTGGAGAAGAAGCAGCTGAATGACTTAAGTGCGAATTCATCCGCATGAGTTCCTGCCTTTCAAAAATGCAACAAGTAACATGGGCAACAGGAAAGTCCTGAAAGAGCATCATGACTAGCAGATCTAATGCTCTTTCATGGACTTTCTGCTTCAGAGTATGTTAAGCTTGTTAAGCTCACAAATTCAATCAAATTCACAATATGATACATCATCTGAATCTGCTGGGACCAGGCCTTCACTGGCATGCCCATCTGGATCGAACGCACAAACCTGCAGATCGCACCAAAAAACCAGCATGCGGTCGATGAGAAGACTGCCAAGAGTATAGGAATATATAGTTCGTTGCCACTATTGCCTACTTCATTCTACTTCCATATGACTGTAGTGCTTCCAGAAAGATTGAGCGGATGTCCACAGCCGGACCTTGGTTGGTGGTGAATCGGGGACCTTGAAGGGGCTGCCGTCGTGTTTTGATAGTTGAAGGACAGACCTGATCACTCTCCCGCCTATGTGGATGGCACACATTGCAAGAGAAAATCTACAGTGTGATATACGTGAAGGGTTGCCTGATTCGTCTGTCAGTTCTGTCTGTGCCACCAAATTGCCTTATATATTGTATAGATACACTCCCTATCACTCCCTCTAGTGACAAACATTGAATGTTATTTCGTGCCCCCCAGCAAGCACCTCCCAGCTTCACTGGATTCTAGGAAAAAAACACCTATATAGCTACCACACAGGGATCAGTGAATCCAGCGAACTCACCAATACTACCAATGCTGATGGATATACTCCACCCCTCACCTCGACCCCCGGAATCGATCTCTTCTGAGCCCGGAGCTTGTCCATGATCTTGCGCCCAGCCGTGTCAGTGGTGGCACCGAAGCTCCACACCAAAGCCAACCAGAACCTGCGCCACGGTTAGGGCAGTTGAAACTGCCACGGGTGAGGCCTGAAGGTCTGATTTTGTGTCGCGGACAAAAGTTTCCGTATAATTATGGTCGGTTCACCAGCCGCTGGCCGATTGGTTCGCGCAGCTGGGGAGACCCATCTCTCTGCTCTCCAAGGCACATGTTTTCCACCTTCACCTCCTTTTCCTTGGCGGGGAGGTCCTGTGCGGGCACGTGGAGAGGCATACCACATGGCATGCAGAACGAACGGCCCAAGTCGGACCCCGATGGGCTCGGACTCCCATCGAAGGAAGGAACAGAAAAAGACTCCAAAAAGTCCCCGACTTGGCCCGTCAAGTGGCCAAAAGCACCTCATTACCTGACTCCCAGCGTCAAAGGGAGAACCAAATCATCAAAATGAAAAGTACCAGTGAGGGAGTGCGAGGTGTTCATGCACAAGGGTCACTTGGATACTTGGTCTCCCTACTTCTGAAGGGCGTCGTGGTATCCCATCCCAACTGCTCCTTCGCATCCTTTTCGGGATCCAGCGGCAGCTCAATGCGCAGGAGTGCCTCGGCCATGTGTTGGGGATGAGAACGCTTGGATGTGCAAGCATCCTGTGGTTGACTTTCGGACGGCAAAAGCTACTCGCACAACTCTTCAGCAAGGCTGAGTCACTGCTTCCTTTTAGACTTAGTTCAGGACGTATCCTCTCGCGCTCGTTATGTGAAACTGAAACAGGACCTTTCACCACATGTCCCGATCGACAAACACCGGACAATCATGCAACATCAACGTCTTTGACTCAAAAAGGGGTACAGTATAGAGAAGGGATTTAAGTCTATCCAGTAACTCAATCCATTGCACCTGGAGATGTGTTTTGTATTGTTGTATGTTTTGCTGATGCTGAACCCCTCCACGAGGCAGGCCCCTTGGTTTGTTCCAGTCTGGAGTGTCGACAGCATCAAACCCGGGGACTCCCACCAAGAGAAGCTTCAGCAAGCTGCAGACCAACCAGTTCTGCGTCACGGGCACCGGAGTCTTAATCTGGCAAGTGCAGGGCACGCTGTGCGGCGGAGCGCGGACGGCACCACTTGGTACATCAGATCTGACATGATCTGATACAACGCCTGAAGAGGAACTCCAAGCAATGACACATCATGATTCTTCGTAATTCCGATGTTCCTGCATTGCCTCAAGAACACCTGTGCCCGCGAACGTGTGCTCCTGAAGATGTTGGAAGAATCGTTCTTGATAGGGCCCCTAAGAAGGGAAGTCGATGAAACACAAACGAAACATAAGGGGAACTTTATCACAAAAGAAACCTTTCCAGTAGTGCGGATGTCCAGTAAGGCAAAACAAACCTAATATATAATATAAAAAATAAAAATAGAAAAAGTAAAAAACCTATTATAAACTATATTCATAAAAGCCACAGCTCCACTTCTCAGCCCCATCTGGTGCAGCCGGGAGCTCAGGCCATATCAAGTTTTTGGGATGTAGTTCCCTGCCCGGCAGCCGGCATTGAACGTCTTCAAGGTCCCCGCCTTGCGCTGGCACATCTCCCAGCATTGATCCACGTTCGTCTCAAAAAGCGTCTTCAACTGTTCGCCGCAGTCCTGCTGTTCGCGAGCAGGTGATGCTAGGGACAGGGCCGGACCAGGGTTGGATGTAGGGCTGCCGATCCACTGACGTTATCCCAGGTAGGACCCTTAAAACAGGCAACCACCACGGAACCCCAAAATCACTGGAGAATGTGGTGCAATTGCTCTTCCAAACTCAATTCCAGTTTGACTTGGTCTACTACTTTCAGGCTCTCTTTCTTCCAGGGGGAGTGTCCATAAGTCATGAGTGAAGCGGATCCGCAAAGCTTGTCGATCACGTCCAGTTCGCCTTCTCACCCCCCAAAAGAATACCGTTAGATACTGGTATAGGTACGGTAAGGTTGGTCAATTGAGCTGATAATCGGCCGATCCCAGCTCACCCGCTGAAACAGCCCATCCATGTTTTGTTCCACATGGATGGTGGACCGTGAATACCTACCCGGTGGTTTTTCTTATCTTTCGGAGGCGCTGGTCTTGTCGTCCTGCAGCCGCTCGGGAGCTGTTTCGAGCCTGAAGGCGAAAATGGGCACGCCCCAAAAAATAGCAAGATTAATAGCTTTCGACGTGTTTTCACTACATCCCCGAAATTCCTCAAGAGAAAGATTGTCAAGCATGCAATTGTTGGCAAAGAAAGAAACGTAGCCATTGCAGGCCTCCAGCCCCCATGTCCACCTACTAAACCTCACCTGTCGACTCTGGATTGTGACCCTCTGTGCAGTTTCTTTACTTTTGGTTTATGCTGGTTGGGAGACCAAGTCCGTGCGAGCCTTTCCTAAAGTGAAAGATTGAACGAGCAGCTTAGACACTGCTTTTGCCTGGAGAGCTTCTCTAACAGTGGATTGGGGAGTTCCGGTTTTGGGCTTAGTAATTTTGCCTTTTGACATATAAGTTGCTGCTGGTATTCTTCTGCCTTTTCCACTGTAATTCCCTCATAAGTTTCAGTCAACTTGGGAACCTCCGTCTTTCGGCCCGGTGGAGGCGACTAACATCTCTCAGGTTCCAACCACGACTGGAGCAACACACGCCAGCCAATGTCCACCTGGCGCAAACGCCAGCAAGACGTTCACGTACCTTCACCTGTGGAAGCCTGTCCGTAACAAAGCTGGAAAGCGATGCTTTCCAGTTAAGCACACTGGGGCCCTGGGGGCATGTGTGAGGGCGACTTGGCCCTCCAGAATCCCCGGGCCATGTGGCGGAGAACTGCCTCGAACCATCCTCAGTTGTGCGGACGGAGAACCGCCTCTGACCTGAGGTTCTGAAAAAATGGGGGACTCTGCGACCTTCCCCTGCCGGAACAAACGTGCCGCTGAAAGTCTCGACAAGTGGAATGTTTATGTAATATATATATATACTACAGTTGATTAATACTGCAGTTTGAACAGTGAAGATTTCTAGAGCAACCCCCTTCATCACCCAGAAACCAAACAAACATGACCCTGCACACCACATTCCACTTCACTGTTATTACGTACTTACTCACCGCCACGTATCACATGCGTATCACAGGCGCCACCCGTCGTATCCCGACGCATCTTTTTCACTTCCTCGCCGTCAAAGTCCTCCTGCAGCATGTAGAGGACAATGCTCCTTGAGTAGCCCCCCTCCTCAAAGCACAAGTCTTTAAAGCGCATGGACGGATGCTTCTGCCGTAGGTACTCGATGAAGTCCTGGGTGCCGCAGGGTGAGAAGTGACCACTGAGAACTGGTTGAAGGCCGCACAAGTTTGAGATCACCATTCCAACTCGGCATGGGAAAAGGATGGAAAAGCACTAAATATTGCAATATATTGCACATTCAAAACCAGCTTCCACTCAATTACTCATGCAAGTGGATGTCCATCCATGACAGAGCTGCGACCAATTGCACTGCTGTGGTGTATATTTGCACTCGGTGTGTGTGTGTGTGCGATCAGCAAACACATGCGGCACGCGCTTGAAGGAGGGCTCAAGTCAGCGCATCAAAACAGGCACTAAAGTTCCTGGTATTGGTTCATGTTGCTCTGTACTGTTTGCTGTTGTAATCAGTGCTCTCTCTCTCTCTCTACAGCAGTGTCTGACTGAAGCTCAGTGTAATCCAATTTCAACGGTCCCGGCCCGGTACATTATAAAAACTCGCCTATTTGATTGAACATCCAGGGAGCTTTCATGTGGGCGCTTGAGAGCACAGCATCAGCACCGCAGCAAAAAAGTGAAAACAGCCAACACCTTTGGGAGCGAACATTCACTTATTTTGTAAGACATGCTGCATGCTTTTCAAGTTACGTTCTAAGTATATGTCTTCTATAGATCTGATAGTGTAGAGACAGACCCAAATAACGTTGCAAAGGCTGAGCGTCGGGGTAGGTCTTCACCGTACGGCCATACAGCTTGCGCTCGGGAAAGTCTTTCCTGAGCGTCGTCGTTCGAAAAGGTCCCTGGCGTTCGGGTGATTTCAGGCTTCGGGCCATTCACGGAAAACATCTAGTCAACTGAGATGACTGGGATAACCATTCCATACCATCGGATGGGAATGCCAGCCGGATGATAACCATTCCACACCATTCCCACATGACAAACAAGCCTCCAAAGCGGAAGACCCGGGAGCTCGGTGGACTGTCACCCTCCGGACCTGAGGCCCGGAGGACCAGGGGCGTAAAACTCACCAAAAAGAACCGTATATAAATCTCCTTGCCCCGCGTAGGACCATGCGACTCCCTCTACCATTCTGATCTCGAAGTAAGACTGTCTCGTCGCCATCTATGGCACTGCTTCGTTCGCTGTTCGCTTGGTCCGGTCCCAGGCGCGGAAAAACACAGCAGGGGCAAACCGCAAAGGGTCTTTGGAGCTCTAACGCCAGGTCGATGCAGGCTTCGGTGGCCTGTGCCACGCGAGAGGTTGGGCGCGAAGGAAACAGTTTTCAGTTCGAAGTTGGTAGGAGGAAGGTTACCTTTCATGAAAGCCGCTGAAAACGCGGTGGACTCTTTCCAACTGCACTGAAGAGTCAAAAAATGTTAAATGTAATTAATTAGTGAAGTCATGTTGAATGTTTTGGCATGTCCAGCTGATCCCAAATAACTACCCTTGACCTAGACATGATCTTTGCACCACCAGTTTACTTTGAGTCTCTTAAACGTTGATCTCGCAACACTGGTTAGTGGTGTCAATCTGCCTGAAAGCTATTGATTGATGGGAGTGGGTTCTATATTTTCTGCATTCTCCCAGTTGAATGTCGAAAAGCAACATATTTGCAGAACTCGCACTGTTCACTACCCCTCATTCATGAGCTCATTCAACTGGCGCAGCGGCCTGGTCGGGGTGGAAGCCCAAGATGAGGCTACAGGAGTGAATCGCCTCTGGGCAGACGGAAGAAAGCCCTGAAGAAAGGAACACAGCAACTGAGGTTTTGGATGGGTCTGAAGATTGAGGTGTGAATGCTGTGATTGATCTTCTCAACTTGCAGCATCTTGCAGCATGTGTTGAGGCTTCTAGATGCTGATATATGCTGATAGATGGAAAGGCATGGGCATGGGCCACACTAGCCTCAAGGGCCTCTGCAGCCTCCTCAATGCGCACAGCACGAGGGGCTCCTGCATTGCGAGAGCCTACAAATCGATCCAGTCCAAACATGACTGCGGTTCGAAGCTCTGCACAGGTCTTTGTGAAACGGAGAACGATGATAGTAGATGATAATAGTGTGCAAAACCATGCCCACTCTGGCGTGACCAAAAACACGGCTCCTCCAACTGGGTCCTCCAAACATTGTGGTTTCCTGTGACCCCTCTGGGATAACCAGCGGAGTTGGGACATGCTCCTGCGTGATGCTGAGTGTGAGAACTCCGCCCACTCACCAATATATCTACAAGGGGCCTATTATCACTAAACAAGGGCATAGCGAAGCCTATTCAGAGTCACTCAAACTCACTTATAACTTATAACTCACTTATATTACCCCAAGTTGGTCTGTTGGTGTGGGTCCGAAGAACACAAATTCAGAGTAGTAGTCACCGGCTCCTTGACTGTTCTCCAACTCCAGTGATTGGTGATGCCCGCAGCGCTCCGTCTGCTCGGCTCTCTTCGACGCCTCTGCAAACGCGTCGACGATGTCGGGGTCGGCTTCGGTCGCTTTTGGGGGCTCCCAGAGTCCTAGAGTTGGGCTGCCCGGGCAATCATTCGTCGAACTTCTCCCAAATGACTCGCACAGAAAAGGCCTGAAAGCTCACATGAAAAGTACTAGAATTTACCCTCCGGCTCACTCACATGGAAGTGGATGGCACCTGTTTGTAGGTGAAAATGGCCTTGCCAATGGCCCCCTTCCATCCACTTCCATGTTAGTGAGTGGAGTGTACTGACCCGATCTTCCAATTCTTCCCGTTATATATATATATAACTATATAACTAATTCCCACCACCGCACTCATCCAACCAGCGTGCCTCCTCCCAGAAAAACTTCCACTCCACAAAGGGCTTACGACGATGCTCCAGCAGCTCCTGGTCCTGTGGAAATGCACCAACATGCACCAACCGTCAACCTACAAAAGAACATGTCACAACTCCTCTCTTGAAAAGCAAGGTGTTCGAGTTGTTGGGGGGTGTGGGGTCAAACTACCTAAACATCATCTTCTACATTCTTGTGCAGGGGTACATCCGTGTCGGATCCCATCGTAGCCCCCAAACCAGTGTTGGGTCCATGTAGACCCGTAGGTGTCGTGGAGGTCGCCAGGGCGGCTGCAGCGCCAAGTGTCGAAGGGGCCCTTGGGGTCCACGATCTTCCTGAGACGGCAGACGCGAGGTGCAATGAGGAGATGTTCCTTTCTTGGCAAATAGCTACCAGTAGCTTCTTGCTACTAGTAGTAATGGCCTCCAACCTACTAGCGATGGCCTTCTACTACTTTGATGCTTCATGATCTTCATGGCAACGGATTTTCTGGGACATGATTTTGTTTGAGTTGCCTTGAGGATTGAGCTTCAAGCACCTCCTGAAGCTGCTTGGGGTATCGATTTGGGTTTTGGGGTGGTCTGGACCCTGTGAAGACCAAAACGCATCATGTCACGTTCCATCCCCTCCCAAGTCCCAGAAGTGCAAATCAATTAGGGGAATGGCGGGGATGGGTAGTTCACACACACATATATATATATATTTACGACTCACTGCAAGTCAATCTATAATATATGTATCATTATTTATGTATCTGATGTGTACATCATATAAGCCATCCTTTATCCATTTGTTGAATCGACGGGTCGCCCAAAATTGAGTGCTCACAAACCGTCGTTGCCTTTCTGTCCGCCAAGCTTCAGTCAAAGACCTTTCATCTTCATGACGCGTCCTTGGTCCACCAACATTGACCTTTTCTAGCATCCCTTTATTTTTTTCTGGAATGATGGATGGTGACCTGGCCAATGGGACAATGCGTGGCGCATGGAACACTACGGGAAAAGAGGAAGCTGAGTTTCATCCAAGTCCAAAATTGTTCAAATGCAGCAATGGACAGCCCAAACACCCAATGAACCCCAAATCTTTGGATGGCCTTTGGATGGGACCAGGTGAAAATCTGTGAACAACTTGGTCTGGCCCAACTTGGGTCAAGATGGAGGGGGGCACCTGTGATGACTGGACCCAGGAATTAGCAAAAGCACCCTAAGATAGGCAGGACTATAGTCACTGGTCAAACCTCCTGTCTTCCTCTCAAGCGAAAATCCATCGAAATCCGAACTCCGAGCGGCTCAAAGTGCCACTTGGCTGTCCGGGTGATCTTCGTGTGATCCGTGCAGCGGGGATCCACGACCACCGAGTCCAAGGCATCGGCATTCGCCAGCAGCCACGACAGGTCCCCCTTGCCTCGGCACCGGATCAGCCGAAAGAATTCCCAGGGCGATGCACCCGACGTGGTCTCCCACTTCCGGACGCTTCTTTTCGTCGCGCTTTGGGATCCCGCCCGAGGACGAACACGTCGCTGCGGCATGGCACTCCCCACCTCCGGCCACATCCAGCACCGTTCTCCCCGTCCAGTGTGCGTCGTGGAGGTCCCAGGTCTTGACCACAAAGTCGCGGAAGGCAAAGACCCGTTCACGCTGGGGGATCGCCGCCATGGCGGGCCGCAGGGGTCGGCGGGGAGTGGGGAGTGGGCGTTGGTGGGGAGTGGGGGGGGGGTCTTGGAGAGAGAGGGATGGGGGCAACCGTGTCAGTTTCCGGAGGGCAGTTGCGCCCTGGAAGATTTCGACATGGCGGAGGAAGCTGGGTCCTCCAAAGGTTCATTTTCAAGTTGCATGTTAATTTTCCCGCGTGTATCTGGAAAAGATCTGTATGATTGGATGGGCTTGGGCAGAATGGAAAAGACTATAGTTGCCGACAACTTTGCCGACACCCCCAGTTCTGCACAGCTGCAAGATCTAGAGAGGCAAGAGCGATATCCAGGTCAAATACCATGTTCTTTACATGACTTGATGATGACAAAGGTTCTGCAGTTCTGTGATCTTGGAGTGGAGCCTGTCAAATCAGAAGTGCTTGAAGGGCGTAGGCGTAGTCAGCGCTGGGAAGGCAACCACTTTTCAGAGACTAGGAAAAGCAAATTTGGTCCCAAGGTCCCCCCGAGTCCCCAGTTCCAAAATCCAAAATGGTGTCTTTTTTGTTTGGCTGGTCCTTCTCAAATAGCTTGCAGCTGCAGTGTGTTCACCACCAAGGAGGTGATTGATCAGCAAACTCGGAAGATGGGCAGTTGACCCCCCTGTACAAGTTAGTTGATAGCAGTGGATCATATCTGACAATAATATATACATCTACAGGAGGTGCAGGTAGCAACTACGAGGGAATGATTTGAGAAATGATTTGAAATGAGTGATGTTCTTTTTCAAACAGGGTGAAAAAGAAGGTCTTACAATCATCTGTGGGAAGGGGCCTATACTTATCTATACTTTATTACAACTTGTAACCACATGCATTGGAACCCATCTCGTTGGCCCAACGATCCCGCCGGACCAGTCAACGGCGAACGGCCGTCGTCCAAACCTGCTCCATGAAGACCATGCCACACCGCGACACCGTGGCAGGAGATGCAAAGGTCAAGTCCTCCCCAATGCGGTCAGGATCGGATAAGAAGACGGCGAGGTTTCGACGGTTTCTACTTGTGAGTGAGAATATGTTTTTCATGACTGGTGAAAACGAAGCACTGCATTGCCGACGTGGTAGGCCTTGTCTCGGTGGTGGGTGACATGGTGTGTTTCTATTTATGGTGAGGTGGACATTTCCACGATAGTTGTAGTCGTAGTGTCTGACTGTTGGTGAAAGGATGCTTTCACGTTGCAAGTGGTCTGTTTGAAATTGTCGTTGGTGCGTCCTTTTATTATGCCAATGTGATCCGGACAAAATGACTGACAAAGGTGAAATCCACACTCAACCAAACAAACACGGAACTAGCGCACCCTCTTCTTGCTAAGCAAAGGCATCTCGCTAGCAACAGCTAGCTTTCTGAAAAAAAAAAGAAACATTAGTCATATAGATATTGGAACCTCCAAATCTATACATTATTATATAAGAATCATAGGATGTAGGTGGTTAAGCTTCACCTGAGTCCTCACTCTGGCTCTGCTCCCGGTAACAGGGAACGCCCTGTCTGGGCGTTACACAACGGATTCCTCCACCTCGAACATCATCGTGGTGACCTCGGAGCTGTCGACCCCGTACGCCTTACCACCTCTGACCTAGCAAATGAACAGCACTGGAACTCCACTGACCGAGGTCAGTGGACATCGGTCCTCACTAAACTCGCATCGGTCCGCCGGCTGCGGGTGACAGGCATCGGTCCACAGGTCGCTCTAAGGATTCCACGGGGCTCAACTTGATGATCTCGCCACTGTTTAAACAGAGCTTCTTGTTGTCCTCAGGGACGCCAGAAGTCGTGGAGTGATGAAGACTGCTGTTTTTTGGGACTCCTCCGGACCGAAATCCGAAAGAATGAAAATGAACTTCAACATCTCTGGAGGCACCATTGGGCACCCCATTGGGCTGAGAGCTCCGGCATCAAGGACAGTGTTCATGTTCTCAATCCACACTGCGTCCACTGGCCCATCCTGAGCCGTTCTTGCGACATACAGGACCCTTCTTCCATAGCAGCTGTTGGCATCCTACCTACCAATGGTAGTTGAATGTAGTTGATGACCTTCCTGAATGCAAGAGCAACCATCTATACACTCCAAAGCCGCAAAGAGGATACTTGTGTACAGAGTACGTTGATTTGGAATATAGATCATATAGCTCAAACATGTCTCGTCTCACCCGTGCTCCGAGCTCCGGGCTCGCCGCTCCGGGCGCCCCGACGAGCATGATCCACTGCCGGTGCGAAGGGTCTGCGTTCGCCGTGTAGCGGACCGTCAAGGCGAGGATGCCGTCGGTCCACTCGTGGGTGTTCTCATCGAAATCGCCATAGAGTTGGCCCTGCTTGATGGACCTGGACGTGCGCCGATGGGTCGATGGACACGAAGTGCCCGCCCACAAGGGCGCACGCGTATGCACGCGTGGAGATGAGGTCGGCCCCGGAAACAGGGTGATGATGGACGGGGTGTCAACGCGGTGGAAGAAGGATGAGGAAGACTACGAGGAGGGGGGTGTTATAGATGGGTGATGAGGTAAAGGGGAATGACTGACTGGTCTTTTCAGGAATATATCGATGATGAATAGATATAAGTATATATATATATAGCAATGGCAGGCAGCTAGCACGCCATGTGTCAAAACCCAGGACATGAAATCACTGTCCCCTTTGGAGGTCAAAATGGCTCCCTTGGGCATGGACAAGGCGTTGTTTGAACCGTGTGGGACGTGTCGGCAGGACATGAGCAAAAGTTGCACATGCATTCCATGGTCACAGCAAGAACCCAGTGCATCCAACTTGAAGAACAAACATGAAGAACAAAAGAAGAAAAATAAAGAGGGAGGTCAAGAAAAAGCACTGTTTTCCTAGAATTGGCAACACAAATCACATAGGTGTTCCATGCGTGTCTGAGATCACGACTTTGGGTTGATCTTGTGAATCTGGCAAGGCAGGTACAAGTCACCTGATTCAGTCGAAAAGGCCATGTATGACTCGGTGTGCGTTCCATTTCCACCAGAAGAAGTCCAATCGATGGGCTTGCCAGGCATCCGGAATCTGGACACACTGACCGGAGCCATCCAGTAATTATGACGCGTCTCGTTCGTGCAAGTCTACAGCATTTCTCGGTACTGGGTTGCACAAAAGAACCGCAACATCATGCCATTTTCCCATGCAACACATCGGTTCTGAGTTCTGAGATGTTCGTTTCGTCCCTGTCGACCCAAGAAACGGGGGCCGTCGCCAGGGACCAAAAGCAACGGGGGCCGTTCGCGTCCGTCGAACTCACCGTCCGTCCAAGGAGCCGTCGGCCACAGCAGCCAAAGCCGCTGAAAGCACGTTTTCGACCTGGCGGACCGGGTGAAAACACGGCGTGTTGGAGGGTGAAAGGTGTGAAATACAGGTACCTAGTGGCACTCCAACCCAAAAGCAAGGGCACTCCAACCTACCAGCGATGGCCTCCAACCTACTAGCGATGGTCCAACCTAGTGGCACTTCCAGGTATGTGGCTTCTTGCTTCCGAAATGTATCATCTGCAAAGGTTCTACTGTCGGAGATCGGTCGGGCTAGGGTGGAACTTCCAATGACAGAAGGGCCTCAGGGAAATGAAGGGAGGGAACCATGAATTGCTTGCTGTTGGAATGTCTTCAGCAGGGCTTCAGGTGAACATGTGTTGATGTGGCATGCTCCACAAGCTCCAAAGATGCCAGCTGTAGTGAGCCAACCCCAAAATGTGCCAAATATCCCTTCACAAGTTCACAAGGCAATATGTATGGCCCGTGTCTTTCAGGGTGGGGGTCTTGCTCACCATTTTATAGACATAAACTGGGGGGCCCAACCCCCTTGAGTCACCTAAGTCGGGGGGGGTGACCCACACCCTTGCAACCCTGAGACGTCTCCATTGCCTCTGTCTTCCCTGAGACGTTCATGCCTTAGTCAATCGATGCGTACGCAACATCGAGCATCATCCTCGAGCCAGCTTGACATTGTCTGCCTCAACATCAAACACAGACCCAGGACCTGTACCCTCAGAAGAAGCATGGACATTCTGGCTCAAGATTGGATAATTAGTCAGTCTACAGTGTAGTTAGTAGAAGAAGGAAGAAACAAGATTCTCCCTGCAAGTGGTGACTTGAGAGAGGAGGGGGTGAACGAAAGGTAGCAGGCAATCACAAGTAACCCTGGTAGAAGTCCATGACGGCGTGAACCGGCGCAGGGGGGATTTGATCCAGGGGGGGCCCCCCCGTAAGAGGGAAGAGTATACCCTATGTGCCGCGCAGTCTGCCTTGAGATAATTTGAGCTAACATAATTATATAAATATATAGATTAATAATTATATACTATATCAAAAATAAAATATTTAAATTGGGCTGTCGTCTGATATGTTCAGATTTCTAAAATCAAATCGCAATCTTTTATATTTCTATATTTTTAAAAAAAAAAATATTTTTTTTTAAAATTTTTAAATCATCTGGAAATCTGGTGATCTCTAGGAACAGTCCTACGATATAATTTTTTAAAATATTTTAAACTTTTCGGAGCCTTGAAACATTTAAAAAATTTAAAACAATTAAATCGCAATCTTTTATATTTTTTACATTTTT